CTTCCTTCCTTCCTTCCTTCCTTCCTTCCTTCCTTCCTTCCTTCCTTTTTCTTTCATTTCTTTCTTTTTTCCCTATCCTTAGCAAATTTGAATTGTTACTCCCTATGATTGTCAGAATATCTGATACTTTTTAGGGTTTTTTTCCATTTTGGTAGCTGATTCTTTTTCTGCCCCCCCCCCCCCCAAATATTGTACTTAGATATATTCCAGGAAATTGGAATATATTCCACCTCATGTAAAAGACGTCAACAAGATAATGAACTGCTTAACATGCCACCCTTTGGTTCCTTCTAAAGGCAAATAAGAGATTTTCCTAAAGGCCATTACAAGAAAGAAAAGGTTAATTCCCCTACCCTCTTTCAAGACTGAAAGCTAGGACAGATCCTTCTGATTATAATACAGGACTTTGGGGTGGGGGGTGGGGGGTGGGGGAAGAATAATTTGTTTTATTCTACTTTGGCCCTTGGGGTCCAGCTACGCCTGATAACTCTGACCAGATCTCCCAGAATGTTATGCTTGACTTCGGGACATCCATAGAATTACTAATTCTGATCAGGGAAGGGCTGCTGGGAGCGGCTGGGGTTAACCCTTTTCTGTGGTATCCAACCCAGGACCTCCACCCAGTTTCTATCTACCCTTGGTGTTTCCAATCAGGGAAACAGCAAGGTAGGAAAAGGGTTAACCCTCTCCTTCTCATCCACCCCTCCCTTGTTTCTCTGATCAAATTAACAGTGCCTCATAGCTGCTTTGAAGTCAAGAAAAAGACATCTGGAGAACCGGTCATGGATCTTCCATGTCGACATGTTAACACGTGGACTTAAAAGTGGCTTCTGAGCTAGTCTCCTGCTGTGGGAGCTATCGGCAAGAGAAAGCAGCGTTGACCACTTCGGATAAAATGCAAATGGGCATCCTGAAAAGACTTCCCCTTTTTTTCCTGCATTTAGGGGATGTTTGGGATCAACTCCCAACTAGGCATTGTGCCTGAAATGTCTCCCTAGGCCCACTAGGTTTTTTCAGCGCTATATGTGCTTGACAATAGTCTTCTTTCTTAGCTTTCACCTGATTCTGTTTCAGAAGCATCTGAAATAGGAAACAGGAATATTATGGAAAACTACAAAGATCCAACAGAGGAGCTGGTCTGATGAAAGCTGGGAAGTATGGAAATCGTTGAATAGACTGCACACGGGTACAGCAAGATCCAGAGACAAATAGGGGTCTGGGTTTTTTTTGCTGTTGTGGTGACACGCAGATAACAACACACATGTATACTTCCCCATTGTGTTCTGATCACTTGAGGACTCAATGACGCAATTATTGTTGTTAGTTTCTGGGCAAGATCTGTTTAATTTGTAGATATTTTAATCTTGTATTTTATATTTTAAATTTTATGTCCTATAGTATACCTTATTTTAATTGTGATGGTTCTGAGACAAATAGACAAAAGAACTGATTCTGTTCTGTGACTTAGATGGGAGAACCTTTCCAGTTTCACCAGTACAGGATTTGTTGACCATTGGTGAACTTGACAAGGTTGAGGGGAAAGAAAAAAAACCAAACTCAAATATTTCAGTCAGGTTGATTTTCTTCCTTCGTCTCCTCCGAACTCGGCTACCTCATCAAAGATTTTGGGGGGGAAAGCAAAGCAGAGAAAACATTCTCCCACCTTTCTTGGCCTAGAAAGCAGAAGCGAAAAAGATGAAAGCGATGGTGGGGCAAATTAGAAAGACATGTTGAGATTCCATCCAGATTTGTTTGGAGGACGGTGTATACCGTGGGTAGGAAGAATTTGCTGTGCTTCTAGTGTGATGGTCTTTAAAATCAGGAGCACCACTTGTATGCGGATGGCAAACGTCCCTCATTATTTTTAAATGGAGGGATTTGTTCACTATAATTAGGGCATTTTAAAATAATACACAGAGCTTCGGCTTGTTTCATAATTGCAAGCAATACCCTCTCTTTCCCTCCAAGAACAAGGCCACACATACTGTAATTTTTTGTTATTATAATTTTTCCTAAAGGGACATTTCACGTGATGTGCCAGAAACCACTTTTTAAATTCCCCTTCTTTTGATACAATTATTCAAATGTAGCTTTGCCAAGAGAAACCCAAGATGGTTGGTGGGGCACACATAAGTTGTGTGCATGAATCTGTGCTATGCAACTCATCGCCTGGATCACCGTCTTAGCTAATATTTTTTCCCCTTAATAGTTATCTGCCAAAATGCACTTTTATACTACTGAAGGTGCATAATATACATTTTCATTGATTGTCTGTGAATTCTTCCGTATGGCTGTTTCTTACCTTTGGCCCTCAGGGCCTAAGTCTCCCCTCTCAATTTTCCTCTCTACCAGCAGGTTGGCATTGATTGTTAGGTGCAGGGGTTTTAAGAAATAAAGCCTTTTGTAAGGCTTCCCAGTGGTCTAGAATTTCAGATAATTAAAAATATGTTTTGCCTACTTCATAGAGAAAACTGAAGAAATCTTATCTATTGCATATGCTGTTGGCTCTGCTTCATCATTCATTTCAGATGAAAAAATAAATAAAATTCAAACAAATGCATTGGGCCCACTCAGGGGTGGAT